TGGAGGAATGGGTGGAGGGATGGGGGGATGGATGGATGGACAGATGGATGGACGGACAGAAGGATAATTAGGGAGAGAGACTGATAGCTTTCAAAGCGCTTCTGGCCCAGCTAAGTCACAAAATATCATCAGCCTTGAGAGTGTACAGCATATGGTACCAAGACCATAAGTGGGAAGTATCTCATAAATGCTTTTTCCAGCTCATGCTGCTGCTGCTGCTGTTCAGAGCAGTTGAACTTTCTCTCCCACAGTGTGGCTTTTCCTCTTGCTGAGCCAATTATGGGACATTACAACAGCAACCGATATTATTTTTTAAAGGCTGATGTTATTCACTAAATATCCATTAAGCCAATCTCCTTGCTCCATTTACAGCAAGCTTAAGGGCAAACCCAGATGGTACAAATAATGCATATTCAGGCTCGATCTGCAGGAGGTCAGTATTCAAACAGCCATTATCAGTTTTTGAGTCCTCCACCGCCTGACACCCACAGGTCCGTGCAGGTGAGAGAACAGTGACCTTTTGAGAGATGGCAGGGTTCTCTCAGTCTTGGCAAGCCATCTTTGCCCTCCCTAAAGGCTGAGTTTGCCTTCGTATCTGAACAGTTAGCAACGGCTAAGGAGGGTTGCTTGGTAACCTGGTAACAGGCTGCGCCTAGGTGTTCTTAAGCCAAGGACAGGATTGCATCTTCCTCCCACACAGCCCCCGCTTACCACTTAACCCTGGGCTGGCCAAGAAGATCCAGCAGTTCCAAAAGGTTCTCCTACAGAGCCAACCCCTACTCTCTCCATCCTTCCCATGGCCCTATTGGAAAATGCTGACCCAAGGGATCATCACTTTTTAACTTTTTTTGGCTGACAGGCATTGAACATCCCCCTGTGGCCTTGAGCATAAAAAACAGGATAGAATAAAATCTGGCCAACTTTTTCATCTAAGAGAAGGCTCAGAATCAGGACTATAAAGTCTTTGAAGGAGCATACTAAAGCCTGAGCACAGTACTGGAGCAGTCCCTGTGTGATACAAATGGTTAACCCACTTAGCTGCTAATCAAAACGCTAGAGGTTCAAGGAGGTTCTTCCAGGGGTACGTCGGAAGCAAGTCCCGGTGATCTACTTCCGAACAATCCAGCCACTGAAAACCCAGTGGAGCACAATTCTACAGTGTCACACACGGGGTCACCATGAGTCAGAGTCAATCTGAAGGCAACTGGTACTGGCAGCACAATATTGATGGCGGCCATGGACAGAAAGGCCTCTGGCCCAGTGTTCATGGACCCAGGATGGAAAGCAGCAAGTTTTCCTGAAGTACCGCACCCCACTGTGGTTACTAAAGACAGTCCCAGACTGCGCTCCTACAACAAGAAAGCAGAAGATAACACCTAAGCCAATGGAGTATGAATGGCAAGTGTGGTCGGAAGCCGGGCTGCCCTTCCAGTCCTCTATTACCTGAGCTTGTGTTGGATGAATTTTTTACTTCCTGATTATTTTCCACACTGGAAGTTGCGGGAGACAGAAAGGATTAACCCAAGTGGAGAAGATATTTGAGTTCCCCATGAATAATTCACGCAGGACATAATCTGAACACAGATAACTGAGAACTGGCTGTGGCGTAGCAGTAACTTCTTCACATTTACTCTCCCGAAGGTCTGGAGATCAGCTCAGCTCAGGCATGGTGAATATCAAATTAAAATGCCAGCATGGAAACGTGAAAGGACTACTCTCCCTTAAGTCACTAACGTGAACACGGTGACCAGCCACCAATTTGTCTCTCCTCCATTCACTCAAGAGAGAACAGGAAACAGAGAGTACTCTGTCATTGTCAAAACTGTTTGCCTAGTTTCAGTTCCCAAGACCATGGTCTACCAAAGATGTGGGGAGAACGCGGAGCGAACACATCATAGCCCCTCCGGAGCTAGCGAGTCAAATGTGAGGCTTCTTAAATAAAATCAAAGGAAAAAGAAGGCGTCCAGCCCTCCTCATGCTAACCGGCCCTTAAATTAGCCAAATGCCGTATGAATAAGCAGTGACTGGGCAAGGACAGGGGGAGTCTTACCCCTGTGAGCTGGGGAAACAATGCAGTCTAGTACATCTTCAACTTCTTCTCAGTGGGAAACAGTCCAGTCTGCCCACTCCACCCCCAGCACCCCCCAGGGACTTGGGAATTGCTATCTGATTGCTCTCAAGGGACATGTCCCTCTAATTTAAGAGAAAAAGCATGGCTTTGCTGTCAGTGGTTTCAGCTTTTCTGGCTCGAAACTGAACCAGTGGGAGAAACAGCCAGTTTCCCAGATGAATCAAAAAGACCAAAGTCATGAAAACGAGAAGGCTCACTCAGGGCGTATTAGCGTGGGCAGGGCTGAGGTACAAATGCCCACACTCTCTGTCCCAAATCAGCCCACTGCTCATCAGAGTGACCCTGGCCCACTGGAGTATGGTGCCCCATCCTGGTCCCCAAAGACAGTCCTTGATGGTGCTCCAAGAACAACTGAACGGAAGGTAACACCTAAGCCATGATAAACAATGCTCCAAAGGCACCTTTACCTCCTGCACACTAAGCAGGTGGTTCAGAGAACAAATGAGAAGTGAAGGCACATGGCCACACACCAGCTTAGCCCCGTGCCGTGGTAGCTACAGCATTTGGAGAGATAGGATGGAACGCCTGTCATTTCTCTCTTCTTTACTCCTACATCCAGGACCAATTCTAGACTACCTAGCTCAGGTGAGGATCTGCAGCAGCGAGCTTGCCTGAAAGAAGCCCAGCTCTACCTATCCGGATGGAAAGTTCACTCGCGGGGAAGAGCAGCGCAGGACCCTCGGGATCAGACTTCTTCTTCACCAGCTGAGGGTCGAGGTTCAGTGCCAAGGCTGTCTGAGGGTCTTCTGCTGCACCCTGAAACAAGAAACAGTAGCATCACTATAACACCTCTACTACCTTCATACCCTGGGCCACTCTGGCTCAGAAGTCCCAAAGGCAACTTGGTCGGCCTTTACCAAGAGCACCAGGGCTGAGCTAGTCCTGGGCCAGACCCAGGTGTCACGCCAGGCAGGGTCATTAAGAAGACAACAAGCGTTCTGGTTGTAGTATTTTCCGAACGAAAACCCATTGCCGTCAAGTTGATTTCGACGCTTAACGACAGAGTAGAACTGTCCCATAGGATTTCCAAGGCTATAATCTTTAAGGGAACAAACTGCCACATTTTTCAACCATGGAGCAGCCTTCTGGTTAGCAGCCAAGCACTTAACCACTGTGCCACCAGAGCTCCTTTGTAGTACTTTAGGGGTGACAAAAATGAAATCTAAGTTAAGATCAGAGAAGATTGGGGCATGTACACGGCATTCACCATCACTGCAGGGTGAATGTCCCAATGGACTTAGCTCCTAAAATAGCAAAAGAAAGCGATAGGGCAGGTCCACTTGGAAAGCAACCTCAGTATAGGAACCGAGGTCAACGTTTTTGGGAATTCACCCTCTTTGTGTCTCTCATGAGTTCAAAAGAGGAGGTGATCCAAATGAAAGCAACTCAAAGGAAGGAGAGTGACAGTCACAGAGAACACACACCTACCATTTGCAGCCAAGTCCAGATGGCTTTAAATCAGCCGTGTCACCCTCCTGCTTTGTCTGTAACTGATTAATTCAACTGTTTCACATTAATTAGGACAAACTCAGGCGTTTGATCCCCATCTTCATTTGTTGTTCTTGAGTGCCATCAAGTTGGCTCCAACTCATAGTGACCCCATGTGACAGTGGTAGAACTGCCCCATAGGGTTTTCTTGGCTGTCATCTTTTACAGAAGCAGATCACCAGGTCTTTCTCCCTTAGAGATGCTGGGTGGGTTCGAACCGCCAACCTTCCAGTTAGCAGCTGAGTGCTTAACTGTTGCGCCACCAGAGCTCTTTCATCTTCATTTAACACATATTTAGTGACTACTGGTGTTGTGGATACACAGAGAACAGGGCAAAGTCCCAGCCCTCGTGGAGCTTGCATTCGAGTCACAAAAATCTGCTGCGGTTGAGTCCACTCCAACTCATGGCGAGCCCGTGTGTTTCAGAGTAAAACTGTGCTCCACAGGGTTTTCAATGGCTGATTTTTCAGAAGGAGATTGCCAGGCTTTTGTTCCAAGGCACCCTGACTCGAACCTCCAACCTTTAACCTTTTGCACCACTGGAAAGCTGTTTTTGTAGTTAGTTGCCCTCGAGTCTACTGTGACTCATGGCTAAGGCAGAGCCTCAAGCAGCTTTGCATCAGACTCCTGTTTTCTTTGCTTGGCTTCCTCCCCCAGAGTTTTGCATTAAAAATCCTGTTTCCTTTGCTTGGAAGTTATACGTAAACCCCATTGCGCCTGCAGAGTATAATTAAGAATGTTGCTGACCTAACTTGTATGAACTCCCTACTTGTAAACCCCTTTAAAGTAACTTTTCCCCTCACCTTCATGGAGCAGTCCTGGTGGCAGCAGCTCTGACTGACTCCTTTCCATGCACAATGAAATAAAGGTGCCTTCCATACTCTCCCTCCTCAGTCTCTCGTTTATTGGCCAATTCGAATCACACTGAACAGAGCCTGGGGTTTCCACCCAGTAACATGACGACCCCATGTGTGTCAGAGTAGAACTGTGCACCACAGGCCTTTCAAGGTTGTGACCTTTGGGAAGCAGATCACCGGGCCTGTCTTTCGAAGCACCTCTGCATGGGTTCTCCAGTTAGGAACAAACAAATAAATCAATAATGGGAACATGAGCTGTTAAAAAATAATCAAAACTCAATGAAATTTAACCATAAGATTTATTCTGAATAGTTATTCTATACGCATGTAGGGAGGCTATTTTGGTTCCGTAAAAAGCAAATGGCTCATATAAGCTAGGTACAACTCATAGAGACCCTATAGGACAGAGTAGAGCTGCCCCACAGAGTTTTCAAGGAGCGCCTGGTGGATTCAAACTTGCGACGTTTTGGTTAGCAGCCAAACTCTTAACCCACTACGCCACCAGGGTTTCCAAGCTAGGTACAATGGGGCTTACAAAGAGAAGGGGAAGGGGAAATATAAAAGATCAGACACTGATTCATCTTCACGTCATCAGCTGAGCCCTGCCTTCCCTCTTTACTGAGATCCACTGATAACAGGTTGCTTCTGGCCTGGCTGCTAATAATTTGGCCCTCCACCCACCTGCAGTCAAGAGGCTTTTGAGATTTTAATTAGGAGGTAATGGTTTGACAATTCTCCTTTTCTAGCAAGACAAGGCAAATTGACATTGCTATAGAGCAGTTTCTGGCAGGCTTTTGCAGTTTGGGTCAATGGTTAATATTTGGTTTCGTGGATAAGAAAAACCTTAAAGTGAGATGCCTGTTATTAATTTTCCTCTTCAACAAGCTTGTCTTCCTCGGCTTCAGCCAGAGTCCCTTAACCCTGCTGCCACCTTACAAACGCACAGGCTCTCCGAGGGAATGGGGAGGGGAGTGCTGGCAACTCAACCAACACAGCCCCCTCCACTTCATCCAAACCCCGCAAAGCTAAGGGAAAGCAGGTAGGTAGAGTCAACACAATGGGCAGAGAGCAGCAGGTATTTTTTTGAAAGTCAGGCAAGAATAACTCCAAACAAACAGTTAAGTTTTCATTTAAAGAATATGGCTTATAATGTGGCAGAGCAGAAGGCTTATAATCCAATCATTGAAATGCTTCCATTCATAAGAAAATACTAGAATTGGGTTTTGGTGGTAAGTTTCTTTCATGAGTGGTGCAAACAGTTAAGCACCCAGCTACTATCCGAAAGGCTAGCGGTTCAAATCCACCCAGAGGCACCTCGGAAGAGAGGCCTGGTGATCTGCTTCTGAAAAACCACAGGCAGTGAAGCCCCAATAGAGCACAGTTCTACTGTGAAACACATGGGGTTGTCATGAGTTGGAATCTACTGGATGGCAACTGGTTTTCTTTCATGAAGAAATCTCACAAAAGTTATGCCCGACTGTATCTTTTACACACACTCACACACACACACACAGTCTTCCCATTATCATGATGGGCAGGGATAAGAAAGAGAATCTGATGATTCAGAAATTTTATATCATCATTTCTTTCCAAATAAATGTGAAAACTGAATACATAAATCCTTCCTCTCCCATCTTCTCTTTTGTCTGGTACATAGCGATTGTCCTAACCATCTGTTTGCAACATCCTCAACAATGCAGCTTAATAAAGGTGGCAGCACTTCGTTTCACCTTGTGTAAAAAGAAAAACAAGCCTCCTGGCTCTGCCTGAGCCACCTGCGTAAAAGTCCTCAGGTCCCTCTGTGGAATCCTAGGGGTTGCAGGAATGTTGTCTCTTCTGTCCTGGTGGTGCAGTGGTTAAGAGCTCAGCCACTCCTTGGAAACCCTGAGGCAGTTCTGCTCTGCCTACAGGGTTGCTGTAAGTCAGAATCAACTGGACTGCAATAGGTTTGGTTTTCGGGTCCCTAGGGAGAAGCTCAAAGAGGCAACATGTCATGATGTGTCCTGGCCAAGGCTGGCACTACAGACGTATGGAATTCTGGGGGCCCAGAAGAGACTGTGAGAAGGCCAGTCTCTCCCTCTGCAGAAACGCCCTCTAACCATGCCCGAGTGACAGACAGCGGGTGCCTGTGCTAGATGCTAGGGGCCAAGGAGTCCCAATTCTTTGTTTATACATTTTAATTATTTCTAATTCTACACCTCATGCTGACATCTGAGGCATCAATGCAGCAATTAAAGATGTGTCTCACCGTGAGAGCATGTCAGCTGATCTTCCTTCCTCTGTTTTCCTTCTTTTTATAATATGATTGATGTGTAACTGGGGGAAGGATATGGAAAGAGAACGACTTAGCGCATTAATACGCGCTAAGCTGCAGTGGTTTATCTGACAGAGGCCCATTTAGTCAGGTGCAGCTCGGAGAGGCCCTGGCTTTAACTGAGAAGAGTGGTTCCCAATCGAGAGCAATTTTTGCCGCCTAGGGGAGCCCCTCTGGCACAGTGGTTAAGAGCTTAGCTGCTAACCAAAAGGTCGGCAGTTCGAATCCACCAGCCGCTCCTTGGAAACCCTATGGGGTGGTTCTACTCTGTCCTATAGGGCCTCTGTGAGTCAGAATTGACTCAATGGCAACGGGTTTGGTTTAGGGGACATTTGGCAAAGTCACAACTGGGGAGAGGGGTTGCCGCTGGCATCTAGTAGGTGGAGGCCAAGGATGCTCTTAAACATCCTACAATGCACAAGATAGCCCCCAACAACGGAGAACGATCCAGCCCAAATGTCAACAGTGCCAAGTTTGAGAAATTTTGCTTGAGAAAGATTTTGGATGTTCAGGACCCCAAAGCTCTCTGTAATATTGGGGATGCTCGGAACTCTCAGCCCCTCTTTTCACTGTAAAGATAAGAATCTTGTCACTTTCTCTAGGAAGCTTGCCTGTCTGTCTGCCTTCAAGTATTCAACAAATTTGTATTAAGCACGACTGTGTACCAGAGCTAGTAGATACTAAAGATAACAGCTAAGCCCACTAGCCTCATGAATCTTGTGTTTTAGTTCAAGAGACAGACAATAAACTAATAATAAGCCAATCAACAATACATTATATCACAGAGTGCCAGCTAGCGATAATGCTAAGAAGAAAAATAAATCTCTGTAGCTCATGGCAGTACTGGTAGAGAATAGGTACCAAGCTCTAGCTCTGTGTCAGGTGTGGTTCTAGGCATTTCACATGGCTAGCTCATTACTGGGGCCCTGGTGGTGCAGTAGTTAAGAGCTGGGCTGCTAACCAAAAGGTAGGCAGTTCAAATCCACCAGCCACTCCTTGGAAACCCTGTGGAGCAGTTCTACCCTGTCCTATAGGGTTGCTATAAGTCGAAATTGACTCGACAGCAAGGGGTTTGGTTTTTTCTCTTTTTTGGTTTA